ACCCACGTGCAGGCTCCGAGCCCGCCACCGCGCTCCGGGACGGGCCCGTTCCCAGAGCCGGGCGGCGGCTTCGCCCCGTTCGCCCGTCACCCTCCAGGGGTGGGGTCCCGCGGCCGCGCAGCCGGAGGTCGAGTGGTTTGGGGCAAGAGGGAGAGGGTCTGCCGAAACCAGGCAGAGGTGGGCGCCGTGACGGCGGAAATGCAGGGGGCCTCCGAGAGGGCTGGGCCCGCTGCCCCCCGCCTCGCCCCACAGCTGCGTTTCTGGGTGGCACCTGTTTGGGTTCCGTCGTGTGGGAGGCTCTAAAGTGCTTTCTTAGTAGCACACCTGGCGCGGGATGTAGCTTAGCCCTGTGGGGGGGGCATTTATCATCCTAGGAGGTGGGGCACTAGTCCCAGCCCCACTCGTGGGTGCAGGAGAGGACCCCTTGCTCTGTGCCCGGTGTCGCGCCCTGGGTGGAAGTGAGACCGCCGGCTCCCACGCCCTGAGGCTGTGACTAGTTTGAGTTTGTCCTTGTTGCTCTGCCCTGAGGTTGGAGGCACTGAGCCCCTTGGGAAGGCGTGCCAGGAGGGCCTTGGGCTTTCGTGACCTGGGAAGGGAAGGAGGAGGGAGGGTCTCAGCCCCCGCGAACACTTTGTCCCCAGTCCCCAGTCCCCAGTGGGGCCTTCAGCCTTGCAGAGGCATAGGGGACTTCTGTCTGGTTCATCTACTCCCTCAGCTCCCTCTTCTTTATCACTTGGGACCGTGTCTCTGCCCTGACTCAGAAAGGGAAAGTCACTGAGGCTGGGGTGACCCGACAGGGCGCTCGTGAGAATTCTCGCATTATAACACCTGCAGAGGGGAGCCCAGGGTTTGGCCTTCATCATGCCCACCTGGACATCTCTGCAGTCCTCACGCCAAGGGCTCTGGCCAGAGCTGAGGTTGTTGTCATTGCCCATGAACAGGGCTGTCCCCGACAAGAGTGACAGAGGAGCTGCGGTCCCTGCACACAGTGGGACGGAAGCTAAACACATCCCCAGTTCCATCCGCCCCTCAAGTTCACTATATTTGTTTGTTGGGGGACCGCCACTCCCAGCTGATGCCGTTCCCCCTTAGTTGCCAGGACAGCCCCATGCAGCAAGCACCAGCAGGTGGCATCAGGCTCACGCAGTCAGTGCTGGGAGGGCCAGGCCACTGTGGCTCCCCCTGGATCTCCCGCTGGTGGGATCTTATCCTTCTGACCCTGGGCCCCAGCAGTGTCTGCCCCTCTCAGGGCTTTGCTGAGCTGCACTCACTGGGCGTGGCAGTGCGACACACACCCCCACCCCCCTCAGGCTGGAGGCCTGGCCAGTCCCCGGCTCACCTTCCCTGCAGGACACCCTGTTTTGCTTCTGAGCTTCTGGGTGTCCACTGAGCTTCTGTCCTCCCGCCTCACCGGGCGCTCTACTGGCTACTGGTTTGCAGCTTCGTCCGCTGGCCCCTGCCCTGGGCAGCCTTGTGTGGTCCATCTACGTCCACCACCCAAATCCTCATTGCCAGCCTTCTGGAAGGCCCTTTTCTCAGCTCCAGCCACCTACCTGGCTGCTCTGCCTGGGTGTCTGATGCATGTCCCACACTCAAACGTGTCCCAGGCTGAGTCCTTGATTCCCAGAACCCATCTGTGCCCCCTGACCCTCTCTCTGAGGAGTAGCCCCGTCCTCTGGAGGCTCAAGTTCCGCCCTGAGGAGTCTTGGCCTGGACCCCCCCATGTCCTTCATGTCCAGCAGGAAGGTCTGCAGATACACCTGGACTCTGTTCTTTCCCCCGACCGCCCACTGAGCGAGCACCCTGGCCCCCACCCCCATCCATGCTCAGAGGCCTCCCTCCACCTCTCCGGGGGGTCCGTGAATGGAGCTGGCCCCCACGCCCAGAGCACGGTCTGGCACACGCTGGGTGGCGGCGGCGGCACGGACAGACCAGAGGGGCCCAGCGCGGGAGCTGCTGCCTCCAGCCCCTCAAGGGGAGAGCACCCTGGCCCAGGGACGGGAGCGGGAGCACAAGACTGCCCTGAATTCCAGGAAAACGGGGGTCCCAGAGAGGGGTGGGCTGGCACCTGGCTGCTTCCACCTGTCCAGCACGTGTGGAGGTTCTGGCCCTGGAGGCATCCACGGGGGGGGGGGTCTGTCCCACCCTGGGAGAGGCTGCAGGGCATAGAGGGCATTTCGGGCCAGAAACTACAATTCCCCCCAAACCCCTACTCCCCCTGGCACTAAATGCCTAAGGGGTCTGCCACCGTGGGGGCTGGTGGTAAGCTGCTGTCGCCCACTGGTCCCCAGGAGCTGACTAGCAAGCTGTTGCACCTGCACTTCAAGGATGACAAGACCAAAGGTGTGTGTGGGGGGGGAGTGGGGCGCAGGGAACGGCAGGCCCTGGCCAGGGGGCAGGAGGGGACACGGGCCGTCGGTGACCTGTTGCTGTCCACCTTGCAGTCAGTGGGGACGCGCTGCTGCTCATGGCGGAGTTGCTGAGGATCTTCGTTGTGGGTGAGCCAAGGGGCCGGGACTCAGCCAGCTCGCTCGGGTCTCTTCTGCCTTTTATTTTCCAGTGGAGAAACCAAGGCAGACATCGTCCGCATTTTCCCACGAGTGCCCTTTGCGCTGTGTCTCAGGAAAGCTCTGTGTTTCAGGGGCCACAGCCTCAGTCTTCTGAGCTGCTGGCTGGCAGGGGTGGGGGAGCAGCTAGGGCTGAGGCCCAGGGGATTGGGGTTCAGGGCCCCTAGCCTTTCCCACCTCACACTCCCCTCCTGTGTCATGGCAGAAGCGGCCGTCCGCAGTGTCCGGCAGGCCCAGGCAGAGGACCTGGCCCGTGTGGACGTGGACCAGCTGGAGAAGGTGCTGCCTCAGCTGGTAGGTGGGCGGCGGCGGCGGGGGGGTTGGCGGCGGCCAGGTCGGGGTCCAGCTCCATCCTGCCCTCGCAGGAATGGCCTGGCTGAGGCAGGGGCGGGCTGGCCACGGGGCTGAGCGCTCCTCTCCCCACAGCTGCTGGACTTCTAGGGCACTCCACTGCCACCGCGGCCGCCTGTCCGAGTCACAGCTCAGCCCCGAGTCCCCGCGTCTCCTGTGGCCTCTAGGCTCCACACAGGGAAGAAGCTGCTGATCCCCAAGACTCTCCCCAGCCCCCAGACTGGGCCAGGTCCCAGCAGACACACCACGGTCCCTCACATCCTCTGGCCCTGCTGATGGCCCGGGCCCAGCCGCGGGACTGCCGTGCAGGGAGCCGGCCCACGCAGGCGCTGGCGGTGGAGGCACTGGCAAGCAGGTGCCGAGGGAGACGCGTGCTGACCTGTGGTCCTGTCGCCCCGATACCGAAGCTGGCATGTCACCCCCTGGCCTTGTGACACTCCCCTCAGAAGATGGCTCCCTGAGTTATGAATCTGTTCTCACAAAGCAGCATCAGTAACCCAAGCCGCCTCTTCCGGACGCAGCTTCCGCGTTGCCATTAATCACCCAAAGTCGAGTTGCCTCAAAGCTGCCATCGCCCCCACCCCCCATCTTGGTAGGACGAAAGCAAAGCTGACAAAAGACAGAATAACAAACAGCATGTGAAACCAGGCCTGTGCGCATGTGGCCACTCGCCTGGAGATGGTGCTCCCGCCACTCGGCCGCCTGGTAGTGGGGTGCCCTGGCCTCGGCAGGTGGGGGATGCTCGGGCGAGAAGGACCCGAAGACCAGCCACCAGGCCCCGGCCTCACCCATGGCAATGCCAGGCCAACTGGCCTGAGGGCCATGCCCGCTTCGGAGACTTGGTGGCTGTGTGGGACCTGCTAGAAGCCAGAAGCTGGGTCTGGGCAGCCTGCCTGCCCTCGGGTGCTCACGGCTCCTCAGAGCCCAGCTCCATTCATGCAGGGCCACCCCCAGCCTCCCCATCCTCCGCAGCACCCACTTCACATTAGTTCTGAAAGCTGCTGAACACAACAGTGCCCAGGACAGGAGACACCCAAAGGGCTCTGGGCCGAGTGGCTGTGGAATTAGGACAGCCCAGCACGTGGTCCACTAAGGAGGTATGTCCCGGTGGGACAGCAGCTGTCCCACAAGCTACCCCACCTGCCGTGAGGACCCAGAGGAGCCTTGCGAGGCCCTGTGGAGCTGCCTCGGCCCTCACCTAAGGATGCACAGGTTAGGGGCAAGCGTGCCACCCCTGATTTGGCCCCTTCCTGCACCCCTTCCCTGCCACTGCCCCCCACCTTCCTCTCCCCCGCCCATCAGGGCGTCTCTGGGCTTCAAAGCGCTGGGAGCATGTGGAAGTAATTAGACCTGAAGGGAGAGGCTGGCGACAAGTGCCAGAGCCCGTGCCCCACAGTCACTTTGAAGTGCCTCATGGTGAGGGTGGCGGGAAACCCCAGGCCAGGCCCTGCCTAACTCCAGGTGGGGGTGCCTTCCTCTCCCATCCCTGTCAGGGGCTGGGGTGGCTGGGGTGTGCCACAGCCAGGCAGGCGACGCCTGGGGGCTCTTCACCCCACACTGCGCAGAGGAGAGTAAGCAACGGTGCCAGGTAAAAGCCAGGAAGAGGCACCTTCACCCCTCATCAGAGGCCGCAGCAAGGGGACCCTGGGCCCACACACCGGCCCAGCCAGGCTGCAGAGCTGGCCAGTCCCAGCGTCAGGAGCAGTGGAGGCCCGCAGCCAAGACGTCGGGCTGGACAGCAAGCAGCAGCCAGGGCAGAAAGACCACAGGAGAGTCAGGAGCAGTTCGAGTCTTTATTCCCACTGCAGCGGGGACTGTCAGGGCCAGAGTGGACCCCGCGGGCTGGTGGCTCTCACCTCTTGCCGGCTGCAATGCAAACAGGCCAGGATGACCCGGGGGCCCTGGGCTCCTGCCCAACAGCCTCTCCCAGCCTGGCAGCCCCCCCACAGTACCTGGCAGCTTCAGCCACTTGGGCACCTTGCCCAGATCCCTCCTCATGGGCTGGGCCACTCCCGGGCTGGGCTCAAGAGGCCCCACTGGGCCCTCTTCCGTTGGCTCAGACTCAAGGGGCGCCAAGTCAGGGGCTGGCAGCAGGGTCGGGGTCGTGGCAGCTCTAGACATGCACCTGGGGACAGAAGGCAGAGATCTAGAGGGGGTAGTGCAGCAGTGGCCCTGCCCCCCCATGGATACTCACCTGGGGACGGGAGGCCAAGGTGTGAGGCGGGGCACTGCAGAAGAGGGCCCGTCCCTCATAGGTACTCACCTGGCCACCAGCGCATCAGCCGCAGATGGGGACACAGTGTGTTCCAGCACCCTGGGCTCCAGGTAGAGGCCTGTGGGGGGCACAGGCCGAGGGGGATGTGGAGGGGCATGGCCTGGGCAGGTGGCTGTCCCAGCTTGACGCCCACAGTAGTGTATCACAGGTATCAGCCATAGGCCTCCCTCCCAAACCCAGAGGAAGTCCCCTGTCCTGGGGATCTGGGGAGCGGGGCGCTGGCAGGCGGCAGTGTGCAGAGCGGGCCCCACCCACCTGTTGGCTGCTCAGCTCCGAAGTGCACGAGGGCTGCAGGGAACAGGTTTGCCTGCGGGGAGGGCAGAGCAGGGCTCAGAGACCAGGTGGGCATGGTGGGCAGAGGCTGGCCGGAGGCCGCTGTGCTCACCAGGTCCCCCCCACGGCCACAGCCACTGCCCCACCCAGATGCCTGCTCCTCTTGTGGCCCCAACTCCCGTATGTGCCAGGCCAGGGGTCTCGGGGGGCCCTCGAGGACCAGCCCCAAGCACTGAAGAGGAAGCTCTGACAGCACACGCACTGCCATTTCAAACCGCCCCACCCCCACCCCAGTCCCTAGGGAAGAGGCGACACTGAGGGCGGCAGTCAGGCCTGGGTGCCCCACCGCAGGCCAGCTCGCAGGTCAGAATGGCCAGAAAGGCCACCGGCCCTTACCCAGCTGGCCCTGCTGCCACTGCCACCCCCGCACTCCCCTCCCCCAACCATGTGGCCTGAGGAACAGCCCTGTGGTGTCTGCGGGGCGCCATGGTCTGGCCTCAGGCTGTGGGGAAGGCCTCAGACCCATGGGGGCAGTGAGGGGGCCACAGCTGGCTGGGTCCAGGCAGGGCGGGGGCGCTCTGGAAGCCAAGTTGCTTTGGGAGTCTGGTGTCTGCCACCTCTGAGTCCACCAGTCAAGACCCCCAAAAGCCCCACTCGGGTCCCTGCCTTGGCTTGGGTCTCACCCCTGAAAGCCCCTCCCACCAAGTGGGCACTCCCTCTGGGTGCCACACACTGCCCTGGGGGTCCAGAAACTGCACCTCACCCCAGCCCCGTCTGTGTGTGGGGGGGTGGCAAAGGGTTTCTGCTCAGGGACTGTGCCCACCTGCTCAGGTATGGGGTTAGGACACTCATGCAGCCCTGACATGCCCCCGGAGCCTTCTAGGCAGGAGGCTGGTCTGTGGTGCAGGCGGATGGCCCCTGAGCCCCCAGCGTCATAACCTGACCCCCACTTCTGTACCCAAGGAGGATCATGGCTGCAAGCCCCTAAGCTAGCCGAGGGCGGCCACACACCACCCGCAGCTCTGCGTCCTCGGCCTCTGGTGGAAAAACCCCAGTTGCCAGCTGAGCACACCTCTGGGCTCCAGCCCCGGGCTCGGGCAGTCGCGGAGGGTATTAATAAGAGAAAGCTTCAGGGGCCTGACCTAGGATTGCTGAGGCCACGGCTGAAACCCAAAGACACAGACAAGGGCTGTGAGCACTGAAACCTCCCTTGTCACACGCGGGATCGAAGCCTTGTGGGGGGCGGGGGCTGCACAAGGGCTCTGGAGGCGCTGGAAGCAGGGGTGGTCAGGGAGCAGAAAGGGGGTGTGGAGAAGACAGTGCCCTGCACTTCCCAGCGTGGCCCAACCGGCTCTGCAGACCCACTAGGCGCCGGGACCCGCACGGCACCGAGCGACGGCATGCTCCCATTTCACAGGGCCTCGCCCAAGCCCACTGGTGGCGCCTCCCGGGGGCTGCAGGGCTTGAAGCCCTGAGGCCCCCTCCCACCAGATGGGCATCGTCAGGGCCCCTGGGAAAGCTCCTCTTGGACCTGGCCTCCTTGCCTCCCCTCAGCACCTGCCATATGCCGGCGCCTCTGGGATCTCAACCTAACAGTGGTCAGTGGACAACACGGCAGACCACCGTGACCACCAGCAGGGAGAGTCCCCCTCTGCTCGGGCGGGGGGTCCCCACAAGCTGTGGTGGTCTTCGGAATCCACTAGGGTGGCGGGCAGGGGCCTGAGACGGGGTGGGGGCCCAGGAAGCAGGTGTGATGTGGGGTGCTGGGCGCCCTCGTGCCCACCCACCCTTGTCCTCACCCCCGGCCTCTCTCAGCCAATGCTGTCCCGGTCCAGCAGCTAAAAAGGGCAGCTAGGCTGCTGTCCCCCACACCCTCGCAGGCTGTCACTCTCTGGAGCACAGGGCAGGCCCCCGGGCGGCCTCCCGAGCAGCCAGCAGCCAGAGCGCGGCTCTGCCAGGGACATGAAAGCCGGCGGCTTCCGCGCCCGCGCACCCGCAGGAGGCAGGAAGCCTCCTTCCCGAGCCCTGCCAGCTCTGTGATCGGGCGGCGGGGCCGCCACCCCGAGCGGAGGCCCCGCGGCTCCAGGCCGAGCTGACCGATGAAAGGAGACGGCTGCTGGTAGCCAGGGGCAGAGTGTCACCAGGAATGAGGCTGTGCAGATGGGACAGGCAGTACCCCAAGGACCCTGCCGGAGTGGGGTGTGGGTGCCGGTCCCCCTCCAACCCCCCAAGGCATCTTGCAAACTCAATGTGCATCCACAGGCTCGCCTGCCAGGGCGGGCAGGGAGGGGGGAAAGAGGCCCAGCGCCCGTGGGGCTCCTGGGGGCTGGAGGGCTCGGGGGCTGCTCCCGTCCACTTGGACTTCTCTCCTTGGTGAGCATCCAGCTCTCTGCCTGGTCTTGCCCATCGCCCCCACAACGGTGGCAGGCCGACTCAGACCTCCACAGGGCCTGCGGGCCACTTAACGAGGGCTGGCCTCTGTTAGTAATTAAAATATCTGAGGAGACTTTGAAGAGGAAACCATTAGGCCAGGGGCTGAGAGGCCCCAGGCTGCTCTCCCAGGCGAAGGGACAGGACAGCCCTCCTGGCTCTGGAAGGCGGCCCAGCAGGGCAGCGGATCAACACTCCTGGCCCCACCCTTCCCCGGGAGCTGGGGGACTGGGGAGGGGGGGTGCGGGCAGAAGCCGCCAGGGAGGGGAGGGCCCGGCATTCCCAGCAGAGGCCACTGGAGGTAGGCGGGGGCGGGGAAGCGGGGCAGGCAGCAAGGGCCATACTTGCCCCGCAGCTGGCACCCCATGAGCTGCCTGGGCAGCTGGCCACCTGCAGTGAGGCTTCTGACCCTTGACCCTTCAGCCTTGCCCATGGGCCCTTCTCAGCCAGACGAAAAGCAGGAGCTCAGCAGCCCCAGGGCCCATCCCCTCTAGGGCCACCTCACACGGGGCCACCCACGAGCATTCTGCTCCCTCCAGTCCCCAGACCCAAGACGCAAGGCCACGTTACCCTCTGACACGCGCCCTGTGGGGCAGCCCCAGCAGCACGCCCCCTCCCCCAGCCAGGCGCCAGTACCTGGAAGAGGGTCAGCGTGTGGTCCTCCAGGACGGTTTTGGGAGGAGTGATGACTGTGGAGAGAAGGCGTCCCTTGTCCCTCGTCCCCGTGCTCCTTGTCCGCCACACCCCACTCCCCATCTCTCCGTGCCCCACCTCACCCCTTGCCCACACTCCCGGGGAAGACAGGCCTGAAGGCACAGGGGTAGCCCAGGTCCTGCTGCCTCAGCTGGGGTAC